CGGCGGAGCTGGGCGGGGGCGGGCGACCGGGGGCGGTGATCCGGACGCGGTGGGGGCGGGGCCTGTGAGGGGCGGGGCCTGCGGAGGCTATAAAAGCCGCGGCCGCCGGGTGCCGTGCTCTGTGGTCCTGGTCCGGGTTCCCTTTCCTGCTGTTCGTCGCTCCTGCCGCCGACGCCGTCGCCGCCCGAGCTCCCAGTTCTGATCTGTGGTGCAGCCGGGACCCGGCACCATGTCGCTGTCACGGTCGGAAGAGATGCACCGGCTCACGGAAAATGTCTACAAGGTGAGTTTCCAGCGGGGCACTGAGTCCGGGGCGGTCCCGGGGCCGAGTGGCCGAGGTTCCCGGGGGAGGTCTTCCTGCTGGCACACTGGGTTCGGGCGTGGTGGCCGGTCCTCGGTGGGTCACAGGTGGCCGCGCCCGCCCCCGGGCCTTGCGCCCGCCCCAGCCCGCGCAGTTCCCCGCACCCGAGTGGGCGCCCCCACCCCGACGGCGCTGCTCGGCCCCCGCGCGCCCTGGTGCGCGCGCCCTCCGGTCTGGAGGGACCGAGGCGCGCCGGGCCCGGGCTGCTCTCCGACCGGGTCTGGGTCATTGCACCCCGGAGTGAGGGCAGCGGGGGAGGCGTGGGGGTTGCGGGCTGCCGCGATCGGGTGCCCTGTGGTCTCTTGGCGCGGTAGCACCGCGAGGCTCTTCTAAGCGCGGCCATGCCAGCCTTTGGACACTTTCTCCTCAACAGGCTTTCCCTTTCCACAACTCCTTCCCGGGTGTTAATGGACGTGGCCCAAAGTGGGAGGCCGACGCGGGCAGGTTGGATGGGTGGACAGATAATCCATCATCTTATGTAACCGCAGAGGGAGAAGACTAATCGTGTAGGAGGCTGACGCGCCTGCTTCTGCTTCTGATGTGTTAAGAGTCGCGTTCACATCCTCATCTGCGAAATGACAGTTCCCCCTGTAAGAGCTGTAGCGCACCCCCCCCCCGTAAGCCCCCTCTCCATCCCCCTGCTATCATGTCATGTCTATGCCTTTTGTACAGACGGTCGGGCCCTTGCCTGTTTCTCCAGCATGGATTCCAGGCCCCCTACCCCTACTAACACAGCCCCGGGCTCCCTGATGGCACCAGGCCCACTGCAGTTCCCAGGGGCATTTTCTCAAGAGAAAAATCCCTGCTCTGGTAGGTCCACAGCAGTCCTTAAAAAGCTGTGCTTTATTTCAAAACTGTGTCTGAAGGTTACTGGCGATTAGCGTCACTGGTGTTTACATGCAGTGGCTGGTTCATGGCTGTGAGTGGGATTGTGCCCGCTCTCCAGCAACAGTTTTCTAATTGTGGGAACCGGCCATGGCTGTGCCTGTTGTAGCCAGTGAAGCCCTTTTAGCTGCTCTCTCCACTGCGGACAGCAGATGGAAGCTTCTGGGGTGGCCCCTTAGGTTTCAGCTGGAGTCCAGGGGGCAGATTATACTTTAATGCGGCTTTTAATAAAGGCATTAAAGTTGTAGCTCCACGGGTCTGGAGGAATCCTGAAGGCAGGGCTGAAGGAGCTCTGAAGCCATGTTCAGCTGCTGGCAAACAGGATTCAGAACAGCCTTTAGGGTTTTTATATTCGGTGTCGGGTAGACTCCATGGTGTGCGATCCCCTCTTGTTGCTCTGTGAAGCACATACTGTCAGGGGAGGGAGGTTTGTTAAATTATTAGTCATTAGTTCCATTACTGTTTGCTTTTGTGTTGCAGGGGGTGAAAGAAAAGTGCGGGTCACAGCACCCCCCCCCCATTTTTCCCTGCTTCTGCACTGAAACCATTAAATGGAAGCCTCATGTGCAGGCAGGGTGTGAGGAGCAGCCCTGCTCTGGGGAATCCCTGGTCCTCCTTGGTAGAACTCATGCCTGGGCAGTCAGCCTGCACTTACAGGTCTGGGCCTCACCCACATGCTGCTGTAATTCATCTCGATGTCGAGGTGAGAGCTGTTGCAGTGGTAGGAAAACTATCAGGATCCTGCACTTGGGGACTTTCAGAGGCAGCTGCAGCCTGGCCAGCTGGGGGCTGACACAAGAGACACAGTGGGTTCTGTTATTCTGTGGGGCAGGGGTTGGTGACCCCCCATGTAAACGAACTTCATGAGCTTTTGAAGCATTGGACACAGGCACTGGATGAGGGCTGTTTCTGCAGTGGTGCTTGGCTCTTTCGGCTTTGTAAGCAGGTGACTCTGCTATCCTCTGGGGGCCTGACTGCTGAGTCTTCAAATCCTCTGCTTGTTGCCTTTTTGTGTTTTGTCACTGAGGAGATTGAGCAGCCTTGGCATGTGGGCCAGGGAGATACCCAGCCCACATGGGGATTTTCAGTGGGGCGAGAGGCAGAGCCCCTGGTGTGCAGCTCTGGGTCAGTCCAGAGGGGCCAGGCACTGCCATGCTCTCGGTCCTCTCCTGGGCTCGGCAGCCTCTGGCTCCGTGTTCGGGGCTGTTCCGTGCAGGTTGGCTCTTGAAGAAGTGCTGGCAGTACCTCCTGGGAAGGTCTGGGATGTGGCCCTGCTCATTGTCACCCTGTGATGTGGCTCGGCTATTTGCTTTGGCCCTTGCATCAACTTCAGCTGCAGTTCTGAGTGGTGTTTGCCTTGGCAAAGGAGGGTGCTTGTCCTTGGTCCTGCTGATTAAGAATTCGAGAACACAATGCAGTTTTGACTTTTCCTCCTGGAAGAACCATAATGCAGACTTTGCCCTCTTTCCTGGTGGCTCTGTTCCCTTGGGAGCTGTGCCCTGGGGGAACTTCATGGAAGGCGAAGGGAAGGAAAAGCAGGACAGTTTTCATGCTGTACGTCAGGAGCTCATCCTCTGACTCATGGGCCATGCAGGGAGGGGAGCATTAGGCAAGGAAGACCCCCTCCCTCCATGCACAGCAGCAGAAACTGGAGTCCACTCTGGGCGGTGCCTGGATGGTGGCTGTAGTGCTGGGGATGGGGTCTACGGCCCCAAGTGCCCGAGTATACTGTTCAGAATGAGGGCAGCCAAAGGCCTCAGAGCCCCCTTGGTGGCCCCTGAGTCTGACTGCATGCAGAAGTGGCTTTTTAAGCAGCTCAGTGTGGCAAGTGGGGTGAGAAGAAAGGGTCAGGTTAGTGTCTTAAAACTGTTTAAATTGTATTTTTGTCTGTTTCTGTGTCTGTATGCATGGGTGTGTGTGTGCCATGGCTCACATGAGGTCAGAGGACAGCTTGTTCTCATCTACCATGCCTGTCCTGGGGATTGAACTCTGGTCGTCAGGCATGGCAGCAAGTGCTCTCACCTGCTAAGCCATCTCTAGTTCAAGTGGGTTTTTTTTTTATTTGTTTCTTGAGACAGGATTTCAGGTAGTCCATGCTGGCCTTGACCTCCCTCTGTAGCTGAAGATGACTTTACTCTTGATTCTCCTGCCTCTATTCCCCAAGTGCTAGGATTAGGGACTTGTCTCAGCTCTTAACCCCAAAGAAGCCCTCGCTCCTGGGTAACCCCATGACCCTTGAGGGTGGCGGCCCAGTCCTTGCCAGGAGTAGCACCATCAGCCTCCTGTTGTGCAGTGAGACAAGAGAGCAGCCTGGTAGAACACATCCCCAAACAGCTGTGCTTGGGGGTGCAGTTCCTTGGGTCAGCGTGGTTGGGATTGTCACCCGATCATCTCCTTCACACGGTGGTCAGGAAGCCAGCCTGGCCGTGTTGTAGTGGTCCAGTGAAGGTAGCAGGTCCCTGAGCAGCTGAGCCAAACACTTGTGGTGTGATTAGTCATCTGGCATGGAGGAACCCCCCACCATTTGTGCCTACATCCCACCTATTCCTCTAGAAGGATGTTTGGGGAGCTCTGGGAAGCATGGGACTCCAACCACTCCCTTTAGACCCAAGTGATGCTGCTCCCTTGTTTAAGAAGTGCAGGCATGGTAGTGACAGTGAAGTGGGGTCTTGGCAGGCCCTGACTTGGCCGGGCATGCTCACGGAGGAGGAGAAAGTACGGCCCACGGTCTGTACTCTTTCCTGTGTGTACACATGCCTTGTGCTTTGTTTATCTTAGAGGTACTTCCGGGCCAGCCCATCATTAGCAAGGCTGGGTCTGTTCTCACTGAGTGAAATTTCTTTTCTGCCTGCACACCTCAGATCATGTGCTGCCTGCCCTCGCCTACCACCAGAATAGTAAAGGCAGTTCAGACCTTGTCCCCGTTGTAGAGTAGCCAGAACAACAGAGAGCAGCTTGTCTGTCAGAGGGAGCTGGCCTCTGAGTTGACCAACCTCTGCATACAGTCAGTGTTTGCTGGTGATGATGACCACACTGTTCAGGGTCACCTGGGGCTTTTAGGGCATGCTCGTCTTTGTGTCTGGGCTGGAAGGGTGTTGGCCTGTGCCTCCTGTCCTGCAGGGCCTTGCCTGGTATGTGTCTTTGTTGGGAAGTCAGCTTGATGCATGGACCTAACCGACTGGCCCTGAGGTCACAGTGAAGACCGGTGCTGCTCTGCTCTTGTTAGCAGGAGGGTATTGGGTGGATGTTGCTAGGAGCTGAGTCTTGTTGCTGTTGTGTTTTTTGATTGTGGCTTCTGAAGGTCCAGGCCCTGAGGTCTGGGTCTTGTCTCTTAGCCACAGGCAGCAGGATCTTGCAGGGAAAGGGCTGATGTGGGGCTTGGCTGCTTAATAGAAGGGTGGGGTCCCCTCTCTTGAGCATAAGGTGGCAAAGCCACAGGGATCCCAAGGTGTAGCCCACTTTCCCAAGTAGTGGTAAGCCCTGCTCAGGACAGCCAGGAGTCCCTGCAAGAGCAGTGGGAGGTGTCTGCTCAGCCCCTTGGGGCCCTCCTTGCAGTGCTGAATGTTCTGGACGGGCATTGCCTGTGGCAGTCATTGTGCAGACACCTGCACAGTTGATTGGTGCTGCTGACTGGGGCTGCTTCCTGTGCTCTTTCTCAGCTCCCAGTGCCTCTCGCCAGGGCCTCCCATGCTGCCTTCCTGTCCTGGCCTAGGGTTCTCCTTGAGGCAGCAGGGTAGAGAGGGTGGAGAAGGGTGGTGGAAGGCCTGTGCTCAGGGCAGCTGGGTGGCTGTCAGCCTCCCCCGCTTAGTACAGCACTGTGCTACAGTGCACTGAGATCCTTGCCTGTGCCTGGAATAATTACTGACGGGCGTGGACCACACTGGCACCTTTCTCCAACCCCTGCCACCCCCTGCTCTGAGTCATCCCTAGCCCAATTGTGCCAGTACAGCTGCACGATGACTGGAGGGGCCTCAACCCAGGGTGGCAAGGGAGGTCGAGGGGCACAGCTGCATCTCTGAGCTGTGTGCTGTGAGGCT